GCGGGGTGACGGCTTCGTCCCCCGCCCCCTGGCCCGCGCCGTCGCGCTGCCACTTCTCAGGCGTGGGCCTGGGCCCAGTGCCTGAGGGCCAGCACCCGTCTTCATCCTCCATGGACTCCGCGGCTTAGCCGGGCCCGCGGACCTGAAGGGCACCCGCCCCGGTCCAAGTCAAGGCCGTGCTTCAGGCCCTACGGCCGCTGACGGGGCGGCCCGGCCCAGGCCGCGTGGCCGGCCAGCGGGACGCGGGAAAAGTCGGCCACCAGGTCTCAGGCCGCTTGTCCCTTCGCACCCCAGTGGGCCTAGCAGCTTCCCAGATGCCTGAAAGAGGAGAGAGTGCTTAGGGAATAATACAGACCGTGATCCCAAAAGCGAGAATATTGATGTGTAGTCTTAAACTTCTCTCCGATAAATTGTGTTAAACTTCTCCTACTTACCAGTACTGTAGTAGTTATCCATATCTAAAACGAACCTGATTTAGCACGGAATACAAATGTCTTCCTTCATATACTGCTGGTGGGGATGTAAAATGGTGCAGCTACTTTGAAAAAGAGTCTGGCAATTCCTCAAAAGTTAAACATAAAGTTATCATCTGACCCAGCAATTCCACTCCCCAAGAGAAATGAAAACATACAACCACACAACACTTGTACACATGTTCGTAGCAGCATTATTCATAATAATCAAAAGTCATTATTCCTAATAGACAAACCAAATGTCCATCAACTGATGAATGGGTAAACAAAGTATGGTATATCCATGTTGTGGTGTGTCAAGTATATTCCAACTCATAGTTACCCTATAGCACAGAGTAGATCTGCCCCATGGGGTATCCTAGGCTGTAATCTTTACAGGAGCAGATCACCAGGTCTTTTCTCCAGCAGAGCTGCTGGTGGGTTTGAACGGGCAACCTTTCAGCTAGCAGCTGAGCACTTAACCATTGCACCACTAGGGTTCCTTGGTATATCCATGCAATGGAATATTATTTGCCCTAAAAGAGAATGAAGTACTGATACATGATACAACCCTGAAAACATAGCATAAACCTTGAAAACATTATGCTAAGAATGAAAGAAGCCAGACACAAAAGGCCACATATTGTATGATTTCATTTATATGAAACGTCCAGTATAGGCAAATCTATAGAAACAGAAAGTAGATTAGTGGTTGCTGAGAGCTGTGGGGTATAGCTGACTGGTGGCTTGGGGTAACAGCTAAAGGATACAGAGTTTCTTTTTGAGGTGATGAAAGTGTTCTGAAATTGATTATGGTGATGGTTGTCAACTCTTAAATATATTAAAAACCATTGTATTGTACACTTTAAATGGTGAATTATCTCAATGCATAAATTATATCTCAATAAAGCTATTACAAGAAAAAGTTACAAAAAAATTTTTTTTTCTTATCTTGGAGTTTTATTCCTCATTGTATCCTCAAGGCCCATAATAATGCCTGGCCCAGAGTAGGTCTAGGTGGGTGCTGGGGGTGGGGTGGTGTGGACTGTACCTGGTGACACTGTCAGAGGGAGCGACACCAAAATGACTGTCTCTAAAATTTTTGTGCATTTCAGCAGAAATTTTTATTTTTTATAAAAATATCCCTGTAGTTAAACCACAAAAACATTTTTTTTTTTTTTATTGTACTTCAGGTGAAGGCTTACAAAACAGTTTCTCATGAAATAGTACACATATTGTTTAACGACATTGGTTAACAACCCCACAACATATCAACCCTCTAACTTCTCAAC